TGGTTTCGCAATAGTGAGTAATGCATTAAAAGTGTCGGGGACCATTTTTATTATTATTTTCACCTTAGTGGGATGAACAGCAGACGGACCCCTTTGTTCAGTGATTTTAACCGGCAACCTAAGCCCCAGGACTTGGAGTGGCGAACCACATAAGCCTCCGATAGGTTAGGCGTGGTATTGAACCGGACTACAGTAAAGCTGCCTACCACCAAAGTCGGGTGGCAGTGGCGGGACTCGAACCCCGGACTACAGGGTCCAAAACACGCCGGTGACAGCAACTTAACCACTGCGCCTGGTGATAGGAGAGTGAACAAGCCTGTCTGCAATATTGTGCTTATATGTAAGCCTGCCTCAGTGCTACAATCGTGTTTCTGTGGTATATGCTTTTAAACAATGAGTAAATCTCTTGGCTGCGCAATATGGGCTGGTATAGTAGTCAACCAGTTCTTGTGTCATCCAACTTTTCTCTGGTTAGAATTTAGAAGGCTTATGACCTGGATTGAATGCTATCATGCACGCCAATATATCAGTCGACAATTCAAATAATTGATATTTTCGAATGATGCCTCATTCTGTTTAGGCCCCACATGATATCCTATTTCAAGTCAAATTTTTTGTTCTCATGAATACAGTGTCTTCACAACCTAGTGGGGCCTTATGTGGTTCACCACTCCAAGTCCCGGGGCTTAGGTTACCGGTTTCCATCACTGAACAACAGGTCGTCGCGACTATGGGGTTCGCCCCATCTGCTGTTCATCATACGGAAGTGTGTAATAAAAAAATGAAAAGGTATTTACGTTCTCTTATATATCGTTCCCATGTCATGATTATATTGAAACAAATACCGCTTTTTGCTATTAAAATCGATGCTACTGTATCGGGTTCATAAAAAAGACAACCCGCTTAGAAAAGAGGAAACAATTTGAACCACTGTAATTAGCGTGCATTGCAAGTACAACTCTTCATAAAGTCTTGACTACAAGCAGAAGGACAACGTCAGTGCCGTCGGTTCATTGTCATGTCATGCTCTACCTCCAGTCAATCGATTTCAGTACTTTTCAGACCCCCATCCAGAAGTCAGGAATACTACTGTAGGCAAGATAAGTTTGCAACTCCGTGTCATTCTCCGTAAAACATGGACCATCACACAGCCAAAGATCCTCATCAGGAGATACTTTTAAACGTCTCGGTTTATAATTCAAAATGCACTAAAATAAAGCCAAATGGCAGTTAAGATGTCACTGGGAGCATTTTTGTGACATATAGTAAACGGTAGAATGGACTGACCCTCCCTGGTCACAAAAACCTACTATCCATTATATGGTAACCGACAACCTTGGAAGTAGTATTTGGAAGTACAAACCATAGTAACACGAATTGAAAAGGTTAATGGAAATCTTGTTTGACAAATATTCGTTTCGCGTGTTTATTTGTTCACAAAACTGGTCAATGCAGTTGCCGATGTATAGCTAATCGGAATGCAGCACATTCACACAGATGCGTTACAAACAACTTGCAAGCTGCTATTAGGTAGGGTAGGTTCCTCCCACCCTCCAGGTTGAGCTCCAAAAGATTGTAACTGGTTGGTTAGAGACTGAAGTAAATGGTAGCGAAACGACAGTAGTAGCGTTCTTGTCATTTATCATCAGACCAAAATGCTTTGAAATGTATATGTATTTTGTGTGTTGACCATAGAGGTTCACTTTCTTTGCTTCCTTTCAATTAGGTCCAACCGTTATTCATCTTGTACTTTCTCACTTTGTGTACATTGTGAACTTGGCAGCGGTCAGCAAAGCTTGCCTCACTTTGCAATGATGATGATGAGTCATATATCGCAGTGCAGTTACTGTTCCCAGATGAAGAAAATCATGCGATCAGTTTCAGTTTTTACAACCTTCAACCATGCATTTCCATGTGCAGGTTTCTGGCTGCACATTTGGATAAAAGAGCAGAGTGAAGATTGGAAGCAGAGTCGAGGAGAAGATAGATAATTCACATGGACTCGAGATGCAAGTAGATGCACGAGTGCCACTGTTCGCGACACCCAGCCATATCACTCAGCTGCCCTAACCACCGGTTACCATGATTTCGGGGTCACCATCCAGGGTGCCTAACGGGATTTGTGACCGTCTCCTGGTTACGGTTTTCATACTCTCATTCTACCTCTTAGTCCGAACGCCCTTCACTTTTTTCCACCCACCACTTGCTTCGACAAACATCTCTCGCCGTGGCAACCTATTTGATGACGCGCAATATATGACCTAACCACCGTAGTTTGTGGAGGTCGACCACTTGCTCCAGTGGACGAATGCGATTACCTAAAACTCTGCGGCTAACCTCAAAATTGCTCGTCCGGCTACCCCACCAGATTCGTGCAATGCTGCGTAGACGGCGGTGTTCAATCGCCGACAGTTTCTCTTTCTTGTTTTCTTAATGGCCAAGTTTCTGCGCTGTATAGCAGAACTAGCCTGACTGCTGCGACATAAACCGGACCCTTCACAGTCAGCCGGATGTCGCAATGGTTCCACAGTAGGATCGCATCAGAGCTCACAAGTGCAAGGAACTGGACACATTGGCAACAGCCGCGAGTCCTGTGTACTCGACCTGACCTGACCATCTAACCTGGTAGGAGAGGGGGGTGGGGTGGCTGTCCATTATGTCCGCCAATCCTAGGAATGCACTGCGTTAGAATGAATTTATGGAATGTATCACTGCAGAGCTGTGGTATTTTGTAATCCAATGTACAGACAGATCTAGTTACCCCAATCACATGTGCTTCCTATCCAAATCATCCTAAAATAACGGTAGACGGCGCAGAGGTTTAGTCGCTGTTACCGGCGTGCTTTGGACCCTGTGGTCCGAGGTTCGAGCCTTGCCACTGCCACCCGACTTTAGTGGTAGGCAGCTTTGCTGTAGTCCGGTTCAATACCACGCCTAACCTATCGGGGCCTTATTTGGTTCGCCACTCCAAGGCCTGGTGCTTAGGTTGCCGGTTAAAATCACTGAACAAAGGGGTCGTGACTATGGGGTTCGCCCCGTCTGCTGTTCATCACACTTAGGTGTTTAATAAAAAAACAGATGCCTCAAGTTGGCAAATGCCAACCGAGCCTTCTGTATGCGAGCCCACATTTCATCCTGCAGGACTGGGTTTCGTCTACTTCCACTCTGACACTAAATGACCA